TGGCTACGTTCTCCTGGGGATAAAATGCCAGCAGAGTCATGTTGACACCCATCCAAACACTCCTCCCACCTACTCATCCACACATGTAGGATGGTGCTTTCATGATAAGTGCCAAAAAGGAGACTTTCCAGCATAGTACAGAAACATAGCAAAATATGCCTGGAGGAGAACCATTCTCAGTGCTCAACACAGAAGCTAAGGGGCTGTGGAGGAAAAGAGTCTTCTTCCCTGTGGCTAGCGTTTGTATCTTTGCCGTGTGTAAATGGGGTTGGGAAACATGTAGAAGTCAACATGCATATGTAGAAGGGAAGAGTGTATGGGTGTGACTTTGGTGCTGTCAATTGTTGAAAGTTTCACAGCTCGTAGTATAAACTCACACTAGAAATGTGTGCCTGTCTTTTTTATTTTAAATTGAATGTTAAGTATTTAAATATTTTTAAAGAGAAATTAAACCTAAGTGTCCCTCAAATGATAACCAGATTGATTTCAAATAATCTGAATATAAGCATGCTAGCCCAGTATGTTTCTATTTAAATTTTAAATGAACCGATTTGACCATTCAAACATAGGCATTTCATTTTTACCTAATTTTTAACCTGTTTTTTCCCAGTAATATCAGATCTTTCTTTCATACACAAGTAAAGGTCATTTAATTTTGTTCTCTGCTTGCTTGCTTGCTTGCTTGCTTGCTTGCTTGCTTGCTTGCTTGCTTGCTTGCTTTCTTTCTTTCTTTCTTTCTTTCTTTCTTTCTTTCTTTCTTTCTTTTTTTGAGAATGGAACTGGCCTAAGGCAGAGTAAGGCAGAAAGGAGCAATACTCAAAAGAAGGTGATAGAATAAAAATGTCCAGGGCTCAGGTTCCTGTGCTTACCAACTTGTGGTGGACAAATTGGGACTCTCCAGATGCTTTGGCTCATAACTCCCTTCAGCCCAAGCTAGCATTACCAATGGTAGAGGATGACTGGAGTTGTAGTCTAAAACATCTGTTAGGCCATTAGTTGTCTACTTCTGAATATAGTCCTGTAATTAATTTCACAAACCAAAATGGCTGTTGATTCCATAAATCCCCTCCAAATATAAAAAGTTAAACTTGCAAAATATAGTACATGATAGATGCAAGGCCTTGGCATAAGAATGAAATAAAAGGAAGATTTTGTTTAATTCCAAATCAACATAGTTTATTGGTCACATTAGCACTGTTGTTTAAGAAACATATAAAGATGTATTAGCACAAAACATGCTTTAAATCAGCCTTTTCTCCTTGTTGACTTACTTTGATTTAAATCACTTCGGCTTAAACCAGGCCAGCAAAGCTCACAGCTGTACTCTAAGCCTCTGTGCTGCACAAACTCAAAGTACTTGCTTTTGTTGCAAGGCAGAGGTCAGCAGCTTTTTAAAGGGATCTAAGCTAGCAATATACTCCATAGGAACCTGGAATGTAAGATCCATGAATCAAGGCAAGCTGGATGTGGTCAAACAAGAGATGACAAGACTGCACATCGACATCTTAGGAATCAGTGAACTAAAATGGACAGGAATGGGTGAATTTAATTCAGATGACCATCAGGTATACTACTGCAGGCAAGAATCCCTCGGAAGAAATGGAGTAGTCTTCATAGTCAATAAAAGAGTAGGAAAAGCAGTACTGGGATACAATCTCCAAAATGAGAGAATGATCTCAGTTTGAATCCAAGGCAAACCATTCAACATCACAGTAGTCCAAGTCTATGCCCCAACCACTGGTGCTGAAGAGGCTGAAGTTGACCAGTTCTATGAATGCCTACAACATCTTCTAGAATTAACACCAAAAAATGATGTCCTTATCATCATGGAGGATTGGAATACTAAAGTAGGAAGCCAAAAGATAACTGGAATAACATGCAAGTTTGGCCTTGGAGTACAAAATGAAGCAGGGCACAGGCTGGTAGAATTTTGTCAAGAGAATACGATGGTCATAGCAAACACTCTTTTCCACAACCCAAGAGACGACTCTACACATGGACATCACCAGACGGTCAACACAGAAATCAGATTGACTATGTGCTCTGCAGCCAAAGATGGAGAAGCTCTGTACAGTCAGTAAAAACTAGACCAGGAGCTGACTATGGCTCAGATCATGAGCTTCTGGTTGCAAAATTGAGACTTAAATTGAAGAAAGTAGGGAAAAGCACTTGGCCACTCAGGCATGACCTAAATCATATCCCTGATGAATATACAGTAGAGGTGACAAACAGATTTAAGGAATTGGATCTGATAGACAGAGTGCCTGAAGAACTATGGACGTAGGTCGCAACATTGTACAAGAGGTAGCAACTAAAGCCATCCCAAAGAAAAAGAAATGGAAGAAAGCAAAATGGTTGTCTGAGGAAGCTTTACAAATAGATGAGGAAAGAACGGAAGTGAAAGGCAAGGGAGAAAGCGAAAGATACACCCAATTGAATGCAGAATTCCAGAGAATAGCTAGAAGAGATAAGAATGCCTTCTTAAATGAACAGTGCAAAGAAATAGAAGAAAACAACAGAACAGGGAGGACCAGAGATCTCTTCAAGAAAATTGGAGATATGAAGGGAACATTTCATGCAAAGATGGGCACGATAAAGGACCAAAATGGCAGGGACCTAACAGAGGCAGAAGAGATTAAGAAGAGGTGGTATGATTACACAGAAGAACTATATAAGAAAGAGCTTAACGTCCCTGATAACCACGATGGGGTGGTCACTGACCTCGACCACTGGAATGTGAAGTCCAGTGGGCCTTAGGAAGTCTGAGCAATAACAAAGCTAGTGGAGATGACAGTATTCCAGCTGAGTTATTCAAAATCTTAAAAGACGATGCAGTAAAAGTGCTACACTCAATATGCCAGCAAATTTGGAAAACTCAACAGTGGCCACAGGATTGGAAAAGATCAGTTTACATTCCGATCCCAAAGAAGGGCAATGCCAAAGAATGTTCAAACTACCACACCATTGTACTCATTTCACATGCTAGCAAAGTGATGCTCAAAATCCTACAAGCTAGGATCCAGCAGTATGTGGACTGAGAACTACCAGAAGTACAGGCAGGATTTCAAAGAGGGAGAGGAACTAGAGATCAAATTGCCAACATACGCTGGATCATGGAGAAAGCTAGGGAGTTCCAGAAAAACATCTACTTCTGCTTCATTG